TTTTTTTTTTTTTGTATGTCGATTGCGGTAAAAGATTAGGAATGATACTAACACTTTCCTATCGACATAGCAACCTTTTTTCTTTTTGTTTTTGATAATGGATTCTGATGTAAGTTTCATCAGCAACAACGACCTGAAATAGGGTGCGTTTGTATATAGTTGTATACTTGGGGGTCTCAACATTCAACTGATCATGACAGAAATACCGCCAATAAATGCATATAATAGTTATTTAAAGGAAGCAAAGAGGGAGAAGTTTTCTTACTAACCTATAACAAAAATAAAATAGCTTATTATATATTGATGAGATCAGTTGGGCGGGTAATACGTTGACTGTACTGGAAAGATCTGAAATTCAGATTATTTTAGTTTATATCGGATGCGGAGTAAAATTTAGGCTAATTTTTTACATCCTTGGAAATCTCAAGTCACACCTGACTATATTTCATGAAAAAAAGATCTATTTTACTGCGGCAATGAAATTGGATGTTGCGAAATAGGAACTTACAGAAGGAAGTTGTGGCACTCCTTGAGAAAATTGCCACGGGTGTAACGGGAAGAAATTACCAAACAAGTTTGGAGGCTGTGTGTATTGAGGTACTTGATGGGGTATTATAAAGGGCGATGGCGTCACAAACTCAGGAAATCTCAGGAAACCTGAATAGTCAATCATTTGTTCTACGAGACAGTCGGTACAGCGTAAAACCACATACGTTTTCTCAACGAGTTTCTTATAATTTTTAATTTTCATTGTATTTTCATTTATTAGTCAGCTTTTGACAGTGTTTAAGTCTTATGAATAACTAGTTAGAAAACAGTATACAGTAACAGTGACTAAAAGGCCTACAATAAGGAAAACTTCTTTTACCAATGGATAAGCAACTCTTATTTTAAGAGGTGAAAACAAACTTTGCTGTGACAAGGGAGTGTCTGTCGGCTGTGGTAACGGTACAAGTTTCTGAGGGACATTTTGGAGTGGTGGTAAGGTAGTAGTTGGGATGATCACCTGTAACTGCGGTGGTGGACCATTGTTTTCGGGTCCAGTGTTCTAAATTTCAAAAATGAGTCCTTTTTACTGTCGATTATTGGTTGAAATTAATGCGTGATATAGAGTAACGATAAGACTTGGGCCTTGAACAATCAAATCTTACTCCTTCTGCATCTAAAAGACGATCGTAATCCTCGACTTCCTTCAAAAACATTGCGTCTTGCGGGTCGCGAGGGAACTGTGGAATCAAGGAAACTACTGGTTGCTTAAGTACAGTTGGTTGCTCAACGACAGTCTAAAAATTTCATTTATTCCGTACAAGTGTTTAGATACCAAGTTAATTAAAACTAGCATGCTTTGATTGCAGTCACGGTTTCTAGGTCGAAAAGTGCTGTTGCTTAAGTTTTATCGTTTTTAAGCAAAATGTTCATCTTAAAGCTTTTGCAGCTGTCACATTGTCGCCAAGTCGACGTATATCTTGAAGCATTGTAAATATCTATATGTTTACAATGCTTATATGTATATAATGATTCAGGAAAGTTACAACTTATGGTTACTTTCAAGGGTCCCGGGGTTTTTGGAGGACGTAGTTGTACTTGTTTTGGGGGATTGACTCTACCGCTTTTCGGACTAACTGTCACTTCATCTGCTTTTTTTGGTGGTATGGTTCTCTGCTTCGGAAGTAATCGCGCGGCTACTCCAGACTTCACTGGCGGTGGCTTTTGTCGCTGCAAATAAATTCTTTGTCGTTTTCATTTAACTTCCACATGCATTGCTCCTCTTCGTTTTACAATAGTGTTTAATCAGGAAATTTGACTAACAGTCATAGGTTATTAAAAAGTGATTTTCAAATGCGCTCTGCATTTTAGGTCTTACCTCAATTTTTTTATTTATAAAAACGGCGCTATCAGT